TTTTCTAGACCTATTTTATGGCTAAAGTAGCAAACCTCTTTAAAAAGAGTTCAGTTTTTGTTACTTCCCTCAAGCCTGTCCAGATCATGTCTTAGTCTCTCATATTTTTTCCTTTAAAGAATACATAGATAGAGACAGTCGTTGGCCAGACACTTGTACTTGCAAAAGTTCTAGGTCAGTGAGAAAATCCATCTTGAATAAAGAATGGAAGGTTACAGCATACATGCAGAGGACCTGGTGCAGGCCATGCACACTGCTTCAGTCTCTGTTATTCAGGGGGCCTTGTTCCCCTGGGGTACTTCTTTCCTTCTGACTTTTACACTCTTACTGCCTCCTCTTGCATGAGCTCTGAGAGTGGTAATTGATGGAGACATCCCATTTAGAACTGAGTGTCCAAAGGTCTCTCCTCCATGTAATGCCTGACTGTCGGTGTCTACATTTGTTTCATCTGCTGCAGGAAGAGGCTTCCCTGTGATGGCTGAACAAGCAGTGTTCTGTGAGGATAGCAGAATGTCATTAGGAACCATTTTATCACCTCATTTAATTTTTCTTTTTCAAGATCAGTAGCATTTGGTTTTCCCCTAAGTTCCTGAGCTATCTACTTTCAGCTCTTGATCACCCAATCAGTGTTGGGTATGGACTACATCTGGTAGAGTGGGCCTTAAGTCAAATAAGTTATTGGTTGGTTACTCCTACAAGATTTGTGCCACCATTGCTTTAGCGTATACATCCTCATATAAAAAGGGTTTATGGGTGCACCCCTCAGGACCGCGAGGGGTGCACCCACACACTGAGACAATGGGGATATTCTATCGGGAACTCACCAAGGCCAGCTGGCCTGGGTCTGAAAAAGCCTGGGATAAAACCGGTCTCGCTGAACATAGCGGACAATGAGGACTACTGAGAACTCAAGAACAATGGCAATGGGCTTTTGATCCTACTGCACGTATTGGTTTTGTGGGAGCCTAGGCAGTTTGGATGCTCACCTTAATAGACATGGATGGAAGTGGGTGGTCCTTGGACTTCCCACAGGGCAGGGAACCCTGATTGCTCTATGGGCTGAGGAGGGAGGGAGACTTGATTGGGGGAGGGGCAGGGAAATGGGAGGCGGAGGTGGGGAAGAGACAGAAATTTTTAAAAATGAAAATGTTTAAAAGTAAAAAAAAAGGGTTTATATTATCCTTTTGATAGAATGCAGAATACCTTTTTGTAACAAAGCAGCTGGGACATATGGGTGGAGCTCTATGTAGGCACCAGCTGGACATCAATACAGGTGTTGTTTTCAGCAATGGGGCCTTGCTGTCAGTTTGTGAAGAACAACCCTATGGTCTTGGCAACAGCTTGGATTGTTTGGAGATTCCCATGGGCCCCTTTGGCCAACAATTTAATTAGATGTAACTCAATCCCAGTATTGGAAGTTTCATTGGGTGACAAGAGATAGCCAATGGGGATTCTGTCTCCCCCATTATTTGTTAATTTTATTTAGATCACTTTTATATATGTATATACTTTAGGAAGTTTCTTTTGTATTAGGTGTTTGTACTATCCTTCCAATTCCCTTGATTTTAGTGTCTCTCCCCTTATTCCCTCCGACTTGCTATGTGTGCGAAGATTCTCTGAGTCTCTGATTCTAGTGCCTTCTCTTGTGATCTTCTCCTTCTGTTGGTTCATCCTGTCCAACTTTGGTGTGATGGCTTTTGTTTTATGTTATTATATTTTATTTTGTCATATTTTTAATGAATCGTTACCACTAGGATAACTATTAACAACTGAACTGTCACTTATCCCTGCTGAGAGAGGAACAATGAGTTTTCTCCAGTAGAATGACAGTATATCCACCACTCCAGGACAGGCTTATGTCTAGTAGTAGTTGACAAAAATATAATGGACACAGTTTTTGTGTATGTGCTTCTATTTTGTTACAGTCTGGTGTTTTTTTTTTTTT